TGGGCCGATATTGAAGAAGTTTACACAGCAAATTTCTGGAGTGTACATTTAAGAGAAACTGTTCTATTTGAAGCTGGAATTTCGACCATTTGTTCATCATTCGTAAATCCAGCATTCATTGAAGTTGGAATTGGTGCTGTTACTAGTAGGTTAATTCAAAGAATGACTAACAATAAAGAAATAGCCGTAAAAGGTTTTGATTCTGAGCAAACCTCGATTGAAGAAATAATCGGAAACTGTTGGGCTAATGGAGTAGAAATAAACTGGATTAAATATTATGAATCCGTTGCTCCTGCAATGATAAACACTCAACTTGTCAGATTACCATCATATCCATTCAAACGCAAGAGCTATTGGGTTGATCAATTCAAACAAGCTGGTCATAGATTTATGGTCCAAAATAATTACGAAGATCCAAATGAAGCATGTGATCAAGATGACGATGATGAAATTGATGAAAATGCCGCAGATAAGAAGGATCTCACGATTGAAGACAGAGTTGTTAACTGCTTCAAGAAGGTTTTGGACCAGGAAGAAGTTTATCCTGATAATAGCTTCTATGAACTCGGTGGTGATTCTCTTTTAGGATTATCTCTACTTGCAGCATTAAAGAGGGAGTTTGGTATTCACCTATCAACCCCAAGTATTATTGTTACTTATCCAACCCCCACTACTATGGCTAAATTTATTCAAGAAAACATGAACAATGAATCAGCTCAACCAACATTGGTAACTCTCAATCCTGGTGACAAAAATTTCAAGAACTCGATTTACGTAATACATCCAATTGGAGGATCCTGCGCCATTTACAAAGATATGGCATCATCATTCGGAAAGATGCCTGTTTATGGGTTTGAATATCCAGGAATTGGCTCCTCTAACATGAAGTATCTTTCCGTCCAAGAGCTTGCTCAAGTTTATCTTAAAGAACTATTGAAAGCGAATCCAAATGGTCCTTACAATCTATTAGGATCTTCCTTTGGTGGTGCAGTTGCTTACGAGATGGCATGTGAACTAATAAAACAAGGAAAAACCGTAACTTCTCTGACAATGGTGGATTCTCCAAATAGCAAATATATGCCAAAATCTTTAGCGAATGCCTCAGAAATTTTAGACTACATGTTCTCTGAAACATATGAACTTGATGGACTGATAGGTCTAGATGATGAAAAAGCATTACAACTGGTTGTTGCAAAAGCCTCAAAATCAAGCTCGAAAGGCTCCGCAATATCAGCAGATATGTTGAAAACATTTGTTGATGTTGCCAAACTAAATTTAAGAGCATTAAAAGAATATGAATTGCCGATAGCTAAAAAACCAATGAACGCTTTATTCTTCAAAGCCATGATCAAGAGAGAAGAATATGATGCTACTTCCCCAGAAAACGCTTGGAAAGAAGTTGTTGACGGTTGTGGTGGACGATTCGAATGTATCGAATTAGAAGGAACTCACAATGGATTAAATCGATCGCCTATATGTGAAAAGATTTCACATCTTGTTAGACAACGATTATTCACTAGAAGAGTTTTCTAATTTTTATTTTTTATTTTTTATTAATTTGTATTTCATTTAATAATTTTTGCACATTTATCTTGGACCTTTTTTTTTTTTATCTTGGACTATTTTTTTTTTATCTTGGACTATTTTTTTTTTTTTTTTTTGGTTTTTTTTTTTTTTTTTTTGTTTTTTTTTTTTTTTTTTTTTTTTTTTTTTTATTTTTTTTTTTTTTTCTTTTTTTTTTTTTTTTTTTCTCATTAGTATTCATTTTTGTTTTTTTTTAGTTGTTTTCATCAAAAATCTTTTATACTTTCTCTCT